TCAGCTTGCAGGAACACAGATACCGAAAACCCATCGCTCAAATAATCACGGCCTCCCTTCGCCGTCAGATAACCCCCGTGCCGATGTGACTGATGAGAGAGTTAATGAAGCACTAGAGGCAGCGGGGAGTGATAGGCACGGGCAGGAAAGCACACCTGCAGGTGCCCTTTCATGATTCTCTCGGGGCTGACTTTATCATGAGGGCCACAGCTCGCAGCTGGGCTGGCAGGAACCAGGAGAGGCAGAGGGGGTCTCTATGGTTAGTGTAGAAACCTGCCTGGGGACAGCTTCCTGAAACTTTCCTCTTTGCCCTTTGCGAGGCCTTCTCCGACAGATGTGCGCCCAGAGCGCATCTTGGAGCTGCAGCTATCGGTAAGTAATTTTATCAAGCAGTAAAAGTTGTTTCCCCGTGAAATGAAATTTCCTTGGGTGTGAGTCGAGCTAGTCTGTAAAATGCAGATCCATGCAGTCTGACAAGTGGAGGCTCTTTAAAAAAAAAATAATAATTAAATATCAGCAATTGTTCTGATATTCAAATGGGTTGGAAAAATGCCTTGCAGAAATATCATGTATCAAGAGGGACTGTAAAAAAAAGCGACCTGATCACAAATAATTTATGGAAAAATAATAGCAGAGTGAATATATTTTACATCCTTTAACCATGAGCTATATAACCACTGCCAGCTTGCAAACACGGCTGAAGGCAGAACTGGGACCTTTATGGTCTGTCTTCATTATCTCACCTGCATCAGCCACTGAGAGGAAAAACAAATCACAAACAAGTTCATGCTGGTACTAGGGTCTTCAGTGAACACTGCTGAGACATTGAAGTCAAGTTCAAAGAACAGAGGCAAACAAAAGGAACAAGTGGATTTGGTCAGGACAAGTGACTTCTCTTTGAATTAAGATGTTAGCCTGGTGATGGAAAGATGTGGCCAGTGTCTGTCCTTGGCCACCCATGCAAAACGCCACCATTGCTCCTGAGCAACGTCTGGGCTATCAACTGACTCCATTCATGCTAGGGAGCAAGGGCACAAGCAGGATGCAATCCAGTGCCTCAAAATCATTCTTTCCTGAACTGAAATGTTTTTAACACGAGCTTAAAAAAAAAACCAAAAACCTGAACACAAAAACATTTTAGATTCATTTCTAGGAAAAAGGGTTTTTTCTGTCTTTTGCCATCACTCCTGTTGGAAATATGGTCTGATGCATAAATGCAGTTAAAGGTGGCAGGAGTAAGAGGAGGTGATGATTTTGATGCTCTAGCCACAACCCTACAGAAACACCCTTTTCTTATGAGCTTGACTGCATAGGCCTGAGGGAGAGCTCACTGACATTGACTTAGTTGGCCTGGATAAGGATCAAGATTGCAAATACTGAGAAAAAACCTTTTCTCCTGGCTTTTTGAAGGATCACTCTGTGCTACAGAATATTCAGTGCTATGCTTTGTGATTTACCCTCAGCAGATTTGTTATTTTTGGCTCCTAACTACAAAGTGTGTCTCTTTCATTCAGGCTGTAATGCTTTTTCCCAAACCAGTCCAAGCTCTGGCACTTTTTCAACTTAGGCTTATAGCTGTCATATAGGTCAGACCCGTGGGATTTGAACCCCCTGGTATTCTCTGCATGGAGTATGCTTTGCTGGGGAGAGCTGGAGAATTAAAGGGTCTAGCTGGGAAACACCTCACACACTGGTATTTTCCTTTATTTGTGCCCTGGCTCCTTTGCCTCCTCATTTTTAATTAGTGGCACATGCTGAAAAGATAATTTAAATTCTTTTCAGAAATCAAAAGAATTCCCACTGACAACATTATTAAGTTATAATTACAGTGAAGAAAAAGGTTAATAGGAATTTGAGCCAAAAATCTACTCTCCATTAAATGAGAACTTGACTGAACCTGTTTTTCCTTCATTTTGGTAGGTTACTGTAAGTTTCAATGGATCCGGGGTGGCTATACACCTGTGCAAAGGGCCAGTGAAGGCTAAGAAGCCATCACCAAGATGGTTTACATCAGGACAGATCTTGCCTGACCGATGCTCAAGATGGAATTTAATAGACAGGGAGGACTTCTCTTGGACCTCTGAAAGACAGACAGACCTGTGTTTCAGACAGCAAGCAGAGCATGGTCACGTGGGGATACTTGTGTGAGAAAGACATGTAGGAGGTGGCACTTTGTTGCAAAGGAAACTTAGCGAGTATTGTTGGGGGAAAAATAATCAGGTTCCTGGGCTACAGCATTCAAACAAAGCCTCTTCCTTTGCTCATGCTGAGCGCCACATGCATGCAGAAAGACATGCAAATCAGCCTCAGTCTACTGAGTGCTTTGCATTTTCAATGAAATGAGAAGGGGGGGGAAAAAATAAACATTTTCCTCTATATTAGCTCTGAACGTGCCCATCAACAAGACAAGCATTGCAATGATTTTGCATGTTTAAAATGAGTTTTAAAGCAACTGAAGGTGTAGGGGGAGAAAACCTAGTCCTTATGCTGGGCACCTGCAGGGTGAGAGCCTCCATGTTTCCCAGCACTGCTCCACACCAGGCACTAGATAAAGATCTGTTTAAACTCAGCCGGGCTTGGTGCAGCTACAGCTGGAGCTCTACAAGGCAAGAGCTTTGCCTTGACAACCTGTTGTATGCTTGGTGTTTCTTTTTCCTTTTTTTTTTTTTTCCTTTTTTTTTTTTTTTTTTTTTTTTTAATTATTGTAAGCTGTAATGTGCTGCTTAAGCTGTGGCATGCCTCAAAGTCAGAACTTTCCTCTTCCCAAGTCACACGCCATCAAATCCTGCAGTTCTCCCTCGCATCTTGCAGAAACTTAGAGGGAGCTGCTTCAAGCACCAATCCCTTCTCCT